GAAACTGCAACGTATAGTGCCGACTGCTTGTTTTCCTCTTTGATGGATTCCTAATTAACTGACTTTTCTTAACTGATTGCCAAGGGGATATGCAATGCCTCTTCCTGAAAGACATAAAACAGAGAAGGGAGATGATACAAAGAAGGAACACACTCCCTCCCTCAAGGACAGGTTTGAGCCTGAAGTCAAAACAAAGAAAGGCTGAACTAATTGTTCAGCCTAAAGAAGAGAAAATTGATGAGGCTCATGGCAGTCCACAGTTTTTTTCAAAAAAAAGGAATCATCTGTTTCCCATGTTCACAGTAGATAAGAAAAGTAGTAATGGGCTTCCTTTATAGCGCAAGGGAATCTGGGGTAAGATAGCTGAAAAACAGTGAGGAGAGTTCACCACTGGCACAGAACGTTTCAGCAGGTTACAGATTCCTCCTCATCAGAGGTGTTAAAGGAGCATGTTAGACAAGTATGTCAGAAATGAAATGGGGAATGTTAATCCCACACTTAGATAGGGAGATTGATTCACTGACTTCTAGACTGTTTTTTCTAAATTTCTGATTCTGTGGCTTTTAGAAGGTGTTATCCTGTGCTAGGAGCAAGCCATGGGAGGAGGATAAAGACAACTAGAAATAGTGCAGACTGATGAGTCTTTAGACTTCTCCTTTCTGATGGGGTGGAATTAATTTCATCCTAAAAGTTCTTTCAGCAACTTTAGAGAAATGTAGATAAGAACAGCTAAATCAGGCATATAGATCCCTTTACAAAAGCAAACCAGACATATCCAGAGCGTAATTCACATGAAGTGTTCTAAACATCCACCTTCAACTGAGTCAATCAAACATCTACCATCTACCTTGTCAATGGGTCTAAGTTTTATTTACTGGGAAAGAAACCTACTGGCACTGGCTCAGTTGCAGGTACCTACTCTCCCAATACCTAGTGTTCGCTAAAACGAATTCCAGTACAGGTGATTGCTTTTCCAATCCCAGAAACGAAGAGCAGAATATACCCCCCATAATTTAGGAGGAAATAGTTAGTGAGCTACTACACCATCTGGACACTCACAAATCTATGGGACCAGATGGGATCCATCCAAGAGTACTGAGGGAGCTGGCGGAGGTGCTTGCCAAGCCACTCTCCATCATTTATCAGCAATCCTGGTCAACTGGGGAGCTCCCAGAGGACTGGAAGCTTGCCAATGTAACGCCCATTTACAAGAAGGGTCAGAGGGAGGATCCGGGGAACTATGGGCCTGTCAGCCTGACATCGGTACTGGGGAAGATTGTGGAGCGGTTCATCCGGAGTGCGCTCACATGGCATGTGCAGGACAACCAGGGGATCAGGCCCAGCCAGCATGGGTTCATGAAAGGCAGGTCCTGCTGGACCAACCTGATCTCCTTCTATGACCAGGTGACCCGCCTAGTGGATGAGGAAAAGGCTGTGGATGTTATCTACCTCAACTTCAGTAGGGCCTTTGACACTGTCTCTCATGGCATATTCCTTGAAAAGCTGGCAGCTCATGGCTCAGACAAGTGTACTCTTCGCTGGGTGAAAAACTGGCTGGCTGGATGAACCCAGAGAGTTGTGGTGAATGGGGTGAAATCCAGTTGGAGGCAAGTCACAAGTGGTGTTCCCCAGGGCTCGGTGTTGGGGCCAGTTCTGTTTAATATCTTTATCAACAATCCGGACGAGGGGATCGAGTGCACCCTCAGCAAGTTTGCAGACAACACCAAGTTGGGTGGGAGTGTTGCTCTGCTGGAGGGCAGGAAGGCTCTACAGAGGGATCTGGACAGGCTGGATGGATGGGCCGAGGCCAATTCTATGAGGTTCAACAGGGCCAAGTGACGGGTCCTGCACTTGGGTCACAACAACCCCACGCAGCGCTACAGGCTTGGGGAAGAGCGGCTGGAAAGCTGCACGGTGGAAAAGGACCTGGGGGTGCTGGTCGACAGCCGGCTGGATATGAGCCAGCGGTGTGCCCAGGTGGCCAAGAAGGCCAATGGCATCCTGGCCTGTATCAGAAATAGTGTGGCCAGCAGGAGCAGGGCGGTGATCGTCCCCCGGTACTGGGCACTGGTGAGGCCGCACCTCGAGTCCTGTGTTCAGTTTTGGGGCCCTCACTGCAGGAAAGACATGGAGGTGCTGGAGTGTGTCCAGAGAAGGGCAACCAAGCTGGTGAAGGGTCTAGAGCACAAGTCTTATGAGGGGCGGCTGAGGGAACTGGGGTTGTTTAGTCTGGAGAAAAGGAGGCTGAGGGGAGACGTTATCGCTTTCTACAACCACCTGAAAGGAGGGTGTAGTGAGGTGGGGGTCAGTCTCTTTTCCCAAGTAACAAGTGATAGGACGAGAGGAAATGGCCTCAAGTTGTGCCAGGGGAGGTTTAGGTTGGATATTAGGAAAAATTTCTTTACTGAAAGGGTTTTCAGGCATTGGAATAGGCTGCACAGGGAAGTGGTTGAGTCACCATCCCTGGAGGTGTTAAAAAAGCGCGTAGACAAGGCATTTCAGAACATGGTTTAGTGGGCATGGTTGATGGTTGGACTCGATGATCTTGAAGGTCTGTTCCAACCTAAATGATTCTATGATTCTAAACTTTGCCTCTCGCTCGCTTCTAGTATCAGGAGCTCTAAACCCAGACCACAGAGCAAGGGGATTCTTCCTCCCTGACAAGTAATTCCCAAAAGCCCAGAGCCCTGATTGTTTAAGTATTTATTCTCTCTACTCTTCTCACCCATCTTCAAATTTTGCTTTTCTTTACTCCTTAACCTGCAACACCTTAACTGTTATTCTCATCATCTGGCTGAAACTGGGAAACATTTGGGATGTAGTGACAGAGACTAGCACAGTGTTGCTTCAAGCTCCTTTTCAGGGAAGCAGAGACAGGCTTTCCAAGCTTTACAGAGTTGGACAGCACTTACTAATATTTTTAATGTTCTTAGATTAACTAAGAGGAACACACAGACACATAGTGTGATCACACAAACGTCATTTGCCAAGCAAAACAAGCTAGAAGCTCAGTTGTTTTTTAATTCTCAATCCAAATCTTGCTCCTACCTCAGAGAAGTCCGACTAGATCCCTCTCAGTTGGTACATCAGCTCTTAATGGCAAGCAACCTAAAGAAGTTTTCTGATACCAAACTTCCCCCAAAATAGAGAGCAAAGTTGATGTACACTTTGCAAAGGAATTAGAGATATAGTCTGGAGTCTGATTTTCTGCTCTTTCTTCACTCCTGTAGTCAAAACAGTCAACGTTCACTGAATCTTTACCTAGTAGAAGAGCAACCACCACAACAAATTACAAATACAAGTTGTATTTTCAGCCTATAAAAGCCTGTTAAGCTTTTTTTTTTTTCAGCTCAGCATAATACGGCTTTAAGCACCAATGTTCCAGAGAAAGATAGTGCTTACTCAAAGAGATGATGATATGTCAGACAAATAAAGACTAGACAGAGGCAGGCTATGTCTGTACTTTGACACAAGACCTCCAAAAAAGAGCTATGTACTTCAAACTGGGATTTAGAAAAATCTGTTGTCAGCACTTCTCCCTGAGTCAGCGCTGGGAAAACTGCTGCAGGATTCACTGTGAGGAGACGCCGGGCAGCCGCCAGTGTCACCTCTCAGATAAGAGAGACAAGTAAATCCAGACTACGCAGTCAGGTACCTGGCTCTGCTCTCATTAAAGGCAAGGACAGCCCATGCTGGCCACATTGCCACCTGGGAAACTCCCCCACTGCCCAAATATGTCCCCCTTACCTTCCAAATTCCTGTCCTAAAGGTGGCTAAAGTTCCTTTTCCACGGTTAGTGCATTTTACCTGAGAGGCAACTACAGCAATTTCGTTACTGCAAAGAGCAAATCTGGTGCACTGTTTGATTTTTATTTCCATATTATAAGGTGCTCTGGAGGAAGGCGGAACATGTGCTCACCCTTCAGCTCACAACGTAAGGTCTGTGCAAACTGACTTCTTCTGCCCCTACACAAGCTAATGGAGCATTTGTCTGGATCCAGGTAAACCAAGAATCCTTCCAGTTTCACAAGTTAGTCAGGAAAATACAATTGCACCATCTTCCATTTTGAATGGATATTTGCATCAAAACCAGTGACGAAGTGGTGAAGTTAAACAAGCATGCATGTGATGACTATGATTACTACTGTAGCAAATTCTTTTCTGACTGATTTTTCAGTCAGCTGTTCTTTGAGACCTGTGATATTTTGAAAAAAGATGAGAGAAGTTGATACTAATGGATTGCAAACATACCCTCGACTGAGAGAGAGTACAGGGCCAATATCACCTTTGCTGGGTCTTGCTCTACACAAAAATAAATGCTATCTAAGTGGTAGCTCTTTTTTTTTTTTTTTAAACACACAAAGCTCATAGGGTTTTTTTCTTATGACTGTGGTTCCTAAGTCAGGAATATTCTCTGTAAGAACAAAGAAATTTGCAAATCAAACATGTATTTTCCAGAGAGGATTACGTACATTGATTACATTATTGTATTAGTCAGTCTCTGAGAAAAGAGAGAACTCCCTGAATTTTCTCAGATGACTTTGTCTGCATTTGCTGATTATATTTATCTTCCATACAAAATTGTAACTAGCTTCCTTTATCATACTATCTCTGAAGTATTATCTAATTCTCAATCGTACGAATTGTGAGGTTGAAAGATTGTGATAAAGAAGCAGAATAAATTAAAACAGAAAATAAAGACAAAATGCTAAGAAAGACCTTGCAAAAAAGGAGTTCCACCCAACACATGACTATTTCCTATGGTATATGAAATTCAGGCTGAAGTAAAGTTTTATGCTGCATAGGCAGATATGCTTCCCTTGGCAGCTTTATTCTTGCTTTCGGTTACCTCTTATTTTCAGTATTCAGAATTTAAAGAATAAAAATATTTATCCTCTTTTTTAAATCAATTTAGGTGATACAGTTTTGGCTTAATTAGCATGATATGGAAATCTGCCCTCTACTCTGGTTGTAAACATTTTAAAAATACATCTTCTTACCACTTTCATCCAGCAAGAAATCATCCTGGTAACGGAACTTTTCCGGTCCACATGCAATAAAAATGTCATCATCACCAAAGAAATCCTGAAGGCACATCACCTGCAGGCAAAAAGGAAAGGAAGGCATTGTATGAAATACCTCATAATCAGAATTGTAAGAAGAATAAATCCTTCCTTGTCTCCATCTGCACGAAAACTCTTTACTTTTAATGGAATCAACGGGGCTTCATCTCCAGATAAATTTCAAAGCTGTGCTCTGACCATCTGTTACAAGTGAGAAACACTTTTATGGACACTGCAGGAAGAGAGATAAGACAAAAAGCCATAACTGTCACATTTATTACATGATGCATCAATGGGGTATGAGGTAAATGCCTTTTGTTTACGCACAAGGTACGATTCAGTAGTTAGTGGATAATTAATTTGCTTTTGAGCCCACATCTCTATCCTTTGACTGCAAGGAAAAAAGGTTACAGCTTTGTATGCAGAATGAAATGTATTTATTTCAGCAAAATCTCCCTGACAAGGAATGAAACTCCTATGGGTGAACAGAGCCTCCATCACACCCTCTTCTTCTTCACCAGCAGAGTCAACGTGAAGTCTCTTCGAGGCACCAAGCTGAACCATCGGGTGAGCTGGGAATGATTCTTCCAGTACAGAATAAAAGGATAATCCCTTTCTACTCCCAACTATGAATAGTCAGGATTACATTGGTGTAGTTCTATGTCCATACATGAGATTTCCAGGGAGACCTAACTGCAGCCTTTCAATAGTTAAAGGGGCTTAGAAGAAAGATGGGGACAGACTTTTTAGTAAGGCTTGTTGTGATAGGACAAGGGATAATGGTTTTAAACTAAAAGAGGGGAGATTCAGACTGATAGAAGGAAGAAACTTTTTACAATGAGGGTGGTGAAACACTGAACAGGTTGCCCAGAGAGGTGGTCGATGCCCCATCCCTGGAAACGTTCAAGGTCAGGTTGGACAGGGCTCTGAGCAACCTGATCTAGTTGAAGATGTCCCTGCTCGTTGCAGGGGGTTGGACTAGATGACCTTAAAGGTCCCTTCCAACCCAAACCATTCTGTGATTCTATGATTTCCTTACAACAGCTTTTAGTTCACAAGGCAGTACTTAACAGTTTAACACTTCCATTCATATGACTACTTTTACTAATATTCTTAAAAAAAACCCAGTAACTTCCCCGAAACCTGACTTTAGACTTACTGATCCAGATTTAACAAATTTTAAAACCAAATTATATATCTGTCTACCTTTAAAAAAACAAAGACAGTTGGTAAACACTATTTCTGCTTCACATTTAGAAGAAGATTTTAAAAGGCTATGTTTGGGTTTTTTTTTTTTTATGTAATGTCTTTTAATTAAATAGTGCACTAGTGTTTGAACAGGATAATTTCACAAACGGAGTTTCAAGTCTACAGACAGGAAAGTAACACATAAAGAATCTCTAAAAATTGGCAAAACAGTTGAGAACAGTCCCACTGAACCAGACCACCCACCTCATAAAAAGCGGCGGGCAGGGGGGGGAGTCAGCATTTAAAGCTTACAAAAACACAAGTGAAAGAATTAGCTAATGAGATTTTGCCAGACTTTGGCATAAAAACAGGCACCACCACCCCCAACCTGCAGTGACTGGTGTCTAGGGTTATAAAATTCATATCATGCTTCCCGGAAATGTGCCTGAAGGCTTTGGCATCTACAACAGCTACGAGCCTCTATGCTAGAAAAATCTTAAGGAAGAAAAATAGTGGTACATGTCATGACTTGCTTGCAGACTAAGATTTGTCATTAAAACTGTTTTAAAGGTAGAGCTGTAGCAAATGAAAAAATAGGAAATTGAGAGAAGAACAACTAAATTAAATAAATACCCCAAAAGAGACAAAGGTACTCCCCAAATCATCCTTTCCTTAAGCAATGCACATAATTTAAAATTCAGGTAGACCCTGAACACCATTTCTATCACCACTGTCATCTTAACACCACACAGTACCTGAACACCAATATTGAAAATGTAAATATTTGATGGAGCTTTTTACCATGTTCCTACTCAGTTTATGTTCTATTAGTGTATCAGCCTCAGCAACCTTTATATAAACTCATTTACTTCCCATCTCTTTTTTTTGTCCACAAGACATATCCTGCCTATCTTCCCACCCCATACTCCCACCAAGCTTCAAACATCTCTTCCCTTCAGTCAAGTTCCTCTGAAATTGCCACCTCTCCCACAGCATGTACAAAACTACTAATTTGCAGAATGACATTAAAAATCCTGTGATTTCCTGTTTGCATCCCAAGTTTCACACATTGCTGCGGAGTGATAACCTTTACATTTGTGTTTATACTATGCAGAGTATTAGAAATGAACAAATAATAAGCAACCCTAGGCACAAAGTTGAGCTATTCTGACAATAAGCATGAATGAAAATTAAATTAATATTTGAAAAATGAAAAAATTGCATGGATTTAATAAAACTCAAAAATGCTTGGCTCTGCCCAATTAAGAGAGTTTCATTCAAGCCTAAACAAGACACTAAAATGGAAGTAGCACCACCTCACCAGGCTTAACTATGCCAATAATTAAAGAATCACAGGTTCAATCAGTGCAATTTGTATGCAAATAAGGAAGAAAATAGGATTAGTACAAAAGAAAAATAATTTATACTTAGATATCCTTGGTTTTTATTAAACTTTACACTTCAAATTTAAAGTGTTCTTATGCGTGCCTCTTTTCTCAGTGCTCTCAGTTTCCTACTCTGTATGTAAAACTACATACATACCCTTCTTACAGTTCTTCTCGCCTCCTGAGATTTTATTAATTTGGGAATTATAATTCTAGCTCCTAGAAAGCTCACAGCAAGAGCATAAGTTCCCTCCAAACCCATCCCCCTCTGCAGTCACTTCCCTTCAGGCTTCCAGTATCTTTTTATGTTATTTATTGGAAGCCTTGAGATGTCCTTCACTGCCTGCATTTTCCATCCTTTCTGCCCCAGCATCCCCAGCCCGCTCCGCTCCCAGCTCATGCTCCTCGGAGCTCACACCGAAGGGCCGCTCCAGGAGGCATCTCACAAACATACAGCAGCCCCTTCCAGGCTTTTTCTGAGAGAAATCTGCAAGCACTTTCTATTCACACTCAGTCATCAGCTAAGCAACAGGACCTGCTTTTTATTATCCATTTTCACTTCTGGAGAACACAGCTCCTCACAAGTTATGGTTTAGAAGATCAAGGATTTGTACCACCCGTACTGGACTGTGCCAGTGCTTAAGAGGCCAGCGTGCTCTGTTACACGTGATCAGCTTTAAAATTATTCCGTTTTTAAAACAGTTAATTACAGAAGCCTCCCTGATCATTTTTGTTGTTTTCAAGTCACAGAATCCACCTTCTTTTTCACACGTACGTTTTTACCTTCCATATTCCACCAGGACGTTTCTTACCGTGGGGAAAACAAAGTCTGCAGCAGCATTCAAACATATACCTTACGTAGGAAGAAACTGAAAAAAACAGAAGTTTTCTACCGCACACCTGGTACTAAATACACTGCGACACTTGTAAACAAAAAACTTTCTGGCAAAGAGCTGATATTTATAGGTAATGGTGTCTCTCTTACGCTCTGCAGGGGAATGAATAACCAACAGTGACATTACCAGGGGGCAGGGAGTCTCAGGCATTATAGTTCTTTGCATCGGTGGCGAGCAAGGCGACAAGCAGGACCAAAGAAAATAGATCGCTAGCACAGGCTTTGGGCCATACGCAACTCACATAAAAAAGACCAGCTGAACCGTACATACCTGATGCAAAACAGAGGAAAGGCAGAAGAATTTATCATGCCTAAACTCACGTGAGCAAGTTGTCCAGGCTGAAGCCTGGATGCCCCACAAATCCTTGTCCTAGCAAACAACTTAACAATCCCGCACGCCCTTCCAGTATGAAACACAGGGGTCTGCCCAGGCAGAACCCCAAATTATTTCGTACCCCAGCAGTTGGTGCTTTGGCTGGAAGCGCAGAAGGGACGCGGGTACCCATGCGGGCCAGGAGCACAAAGCCGATGGGCTGAACTGCCCCAGGAGGAGAAGAGGGAGCAGAGCAGCAAACCCGGCTTCCAGCCCAGCCTCAGCACTGGCTTTGCACCAGAGCACGGACACTACAGGCACCTTAAAAGTCACCTTCGCTTTTCTTTCCTTTTTTTCAAACAGGCAAGTGCCTGGAACCAATGAGAAATCTCCTAACTGTTTTCCCTTGACTGTCCTGAAACGTGTAAGCTCTTAATATTCACCTCTTTGAAGTAGGTAACATTTTTATGGAGACCCTCTTTCTTGTATCTACAAAAGATGCGAGAAATTATGCTTTACGGTTTGGAGCACAGATGACCCAAGAGTAAGAATCGCAGCTTGTAGAGCCATTACCTGGTTTTATTCTCACACTGCAAGTGAGAAAGAGCAGTCGGCAGTGGTGTGGGTGTGGAGGAGGTGCAGAGGGAGGGAAAAGAGAGGGAAAAGCAGGGGGAGGAAGGAGGGAGGGATGGGAAGAGGGATTGAATCAATCCTTTCTCTAAAACCACGAAATGAAAGTTACAGATGAAATCAACTTTATAACTGCTGTATTCTAGCCATAGCGGGATCGGGGACCTTTCCAAATTCACGTTTTAAAACAAACACATGGCCAAAAAACCCCAGAACAAAATTCTTTGCGTGTGTCAGTCACACCAAATACCTTCCTATTGTTTTAAAGTTGACCATGTATCAAGTTAATACGAACTCTGAAATTTTTAAATAAAAAATAATCAGGAACTCAAATTTTCACCTGCATTCAGGAATAGCTCACAGCACCAGCACAGTACACCACCACCACCAGGACTACCAACGCTCACGTTTTTGTTACAAATTTCATAATGCCGGGTTCTTGGATGGAAAAGGAGGAGGGGGATGTTCTGTGTGCTTGTCTTCTTTTAATAACAACAACTTAATTAGACTCAAAGCTGAAAGCTATTTTGGATGAGCAATGAGAAAACCTCAAGCTGGGGTGCCTTCAGGCACCATAGCTGTTGGAGAGCTGGAAAGAAAAGTGAGGACAAATAAATGAGGTAGTG